GGGCGAGTGAGCAGAGCACGGCAAAGCAAAGGGGAGATTTTTTGCGTGGACGGCGGCTGCGAAGCGGCGTGAGCAAAAACTACCCGGTCTTTCCCTGGCCGCTCGTCCGCCCCTCTGGGGTACACAGTACGTTGCTCCACCGCCCGCCAAATGGCCGAATCGACAAACCGGTGGACGAAATTAGGAGCGTAGGGGAACAATCAACCCTCAATCTAATCTCATCTGAAACCGCGTATGTAGCGCATAAACGGGATTTCCACAGTTTTATGGAGAACAGGGTCCAAGATTAAATTCGTATCGATATGGGTCACCGTCGTCACTCGCTTTAGATATGCGAACTTTCTGATTATTAGGAAATATTATTTTTTAATATTCCGAGCGACATATATTTCAATACGTTGGAGTGAAAGTACAGAAAATTAGTACCAGAGTTTCCCGAGTTCATTAAAATGTGAATCATGGGTTTATTAGAACAAAGAGATATGTTTAGTTCTCAAGAGTTTATTAGAATGTGAAAGTACGACTACGATGTTGCCTTTCTGCAGTACTATGCAAAGCAACTCTTAAAATGCCAACATTTTTTTTAGTAACAGGTGAAGACGTAACTGAATAAGAACATCCAGTTTGAAAGATAATATCTGAGGAAACCGATTCTTCCCCTTTACGCAAATGATCTTGAGTTCCAATATTGCCAGGGAATAAAATATGTGTTCTTGAAATATACTGCAGAGTATCATGTCATTTATTGTTGAAACACACTGGTGGGATCCAAACGAAAATTTAATAGCGTAAAACCCACATTTCGCATGAAACGTAACATTCGAAAATTTCCCCTGCGTAACTTCAAATTCCGGCCCACTGCACACCGCCACGCAATCTGGCGGGACCGTCCGGCAAACTGCGGCGAATGGACGACACGGGCGACAAGCCAAACGTCCGAGTGCTTTCATGCGATCCTCTGCCCCCCCCCCTTCCTCCTCTTCCCCCGCGTCAACCCGGTTCCCTTCTCAT